GCATTATTTACAGTAAATAGTTCTATAGTGTTTGAGTTTCTCCACAGTAAGTCTCTTTCATTACCACCTTCCTCAGAGAGAGACAAATCACCAAAATCATAGGAAGCTGTAATATCCTCACTAATAAAATCCAATGTATCTTGTCTCGTTAAATTCCACACAGCGAATGATTCATCAGCTTCCGATTTTAATTCAGTATTATTTTCCTTTAAAGTTTTTATATTATTTTCCTTCTGACCAATTTCATAGTCTAAAACTAGTTTCTTTGCCTTATATTCCTTAATGATGGCTCTCAGATTTTCCATCTCCCTCCGATCATTCTCAGAGAAACTACTATCAATTTGATCAGCACTAGCTGTTGCAACAGATTGATTAAGTGGAGCCTTATTCGTCGGTTTAAATGGTTTATATTCATCTGTTAAAAGTGAAGAAACCACAGATATCGTATCGCTCAATTCAGGTTGTGGATAATTAGCTCCAGCACCAGATGATGATAAGAGTGAGGATAATTGAGCCTGTGGTTGGGATGCTCCATATTGACTCGAGAATGAGGCTGACCTTAAATTCCTCATTTTTTTTATAATGATAGAAAAACACATTGACATTGTTACTCTTTATCAATTCATTATCATATTAGAATTTTTGATGTCTTTTAAGGTGGCACTATTGTTCAGTGTTCACCAAATTTTTTTTAAAAAAATACAAGTCAAAGATCAGTCACCTTCTTTGTTTTGCACTTCTTCTGTCCTTTGTGGCAATCATCACACAAATTGCACTGGATTTACAAGTACAACTCCTTTTCCAGTACAAGTACATGGTCTATTTTCTTCTTTGATGGTGGATTTCTTTTTCGGAATTAATAATTGTTGATTGTTAGTGGCTTTCCTTTATATTCAACAAACAATCCTTTAGCATCTTTCTTAGATAATTTATTCATGAGGGGAAAATTTAGTGGTTTTATGAATGATTTGTGTATGTGAAATACTGCTAAATCCACTCTTCCTATCTTTTTGAAACAAACTTGCACATACTATTCAGAGACTCATTGGATTGAGTGTGAGCACTCTTTTTATAAGAATCTGCACTTTCAGCAAGTTCTGTAAATGTGAATCATCATTTTAAAAATCATATCAGCATACAATTCCATTTTTAAAATAAATATAATTTTCGTTAGCACTTTTGATTACCTATTTTCTTAGAAGAGGAATAACATCACCAAAATGTAATGCAGGAACAAATACAACAACATCTCTAGACCATATGTTGTTCTTCTCTGGGTTTTATCTTGTTGCTGGTGCGTGCAAGAGGGTTGGAACTTTAATTTTTTTACCGTTACATTTCTGATAACAAATTCGATCAACGGAGGAATTTATTATTTATTCAATAACTAGTGATTTGTAAAGAAATGTAATGCAGGATTGTAATATATACATCTCATAGGACATTTTCTCTTCGAATGATATCTCCAGAGTGGTAGCATTCCGTGGGAGAGGTTCTCAAACATTAACAATTTACTTCGTATGTCAGCAAGAAATTTTAAAAAGTTGGACCAAAAATTTTTAACAAAATTTCCTTTTATTGCGAGCTACAGTGCCACCTTAAATATATGTTCAATAATCAAATAATAATAGTTTTACATTGTTGACCGAAAAATTGGATAATACTAATAAATTAAAAATTCAATCAAAAAAAAATGCTTTCTTTTCTTGATAGGGCAGGCTTCTTTCATAACAAGGCTGTGTTTGAACCACTACTCCGAAAACATGGTATCAAGGCTTCAAAGATAACTGCAATGATAAATGCAGAAATTGAATCGGAAGGTAATGATAAAATTCTTCCATTTAGAAAAGTGAGAATTGCTGGAAAGAAGGAACCTATTTTAAAGCAACCATGTACTGGGTCGTTATTAGCAAATAATACTAATTTTACAC